ATGGCCTCCATCATAGCCTCTTGCTTGAGACGAGCTTGCACGCTTGCGGCCTCGATGGCAGTATAGCTCCTCGATCGTCCGATGATGCTTGGTCGAGGTGCTGGTGGACTCATTTGTGTGCGAATGTTGCTGCGAGCGGCCATGGTCGAGACGTGTGGCAACCTGGGCAGCGTGCGATCGCGCATGGGATGGTGGGCACCTGCGGCAGCTACCAGGTGGCTGAGCATGCTTGGGCGAGGTCGTGGGCGTGGTGGGCTCACGAGTCCAATTGTTGCAGCTCCAGTGCTCTGCTTTTGCTCGCCAGCTTTCGTCGCGGCCATCCCTTCGCTAGCGTGAGCCAGTAATCTGAGCGGAATTTGCAGCACGTCCTCGTTATCCGCGCCCTCTCCAAGCGCGTCCTCATCGAGCTGATCGATCTCGTCCGCATCATCCTCTTCGGAAGTGCTCGCCGCTGAGTTCGTCTCCATCGGTATGGACCTGCTTGGCTCTGATTGCACCGCTGGATCGCTGGCACGCGGCCGTTTCGCATCCTCATTGGAGAAACGATGAGAGTCGCCGACGTAAGAATGGGCGTCTTCGTCCGCCTTGCGTTTGGGCGTCCCCACCATGGGTTGCGCAGCAGGATAGGGAGCGGACGTATTCAAGTGCGACCCTGGGTGAACGTTTCCAGTAGCAGAGCCAGGAGTGCCGTAGGCCAGGCTCATTCCCGGGGACAAGAGGCTGCGACTCGGGCTCGCAAAGTCGTTCCATGAACGTGGGATGCTGGCTGTCCCTGGTGTGTGATGTTCGAGCGTGTTGGCGCTGTGCAGACGCACCGGGGGTGGCATACTGATCGGGCCTGGCCAGGCTGCGCTGCGAAGAGAAGACTGCGACGTGGCGCTTGCGGAGGCAGACCTCACATTGGGGATCATGGGCGAGTAGCTGGACGTGGATGCAGGAGTGCCGACGCTACTTCGACCGGCGGCACCTGAGTCGTGCATTGCGCTGCCCATCGAGAAGGGTTCCGAAGCATGTGGAGCGTGGCCATCTGACCGAGTGCCATGAGCCGTGCGATGCGAGTTGTGCACGTCGGGGATCACCTGCGCCACCTGAGATCGTCCGTACTCGTTGGAGTTGCGAGGTGCATTGCTGCTCCACTGAGAGGCCGGGCGACCAAAACTGCTCACAGTGTCCATGCCAGGATGATGGGTGGGAAAGTGCTGAGAGACAGGCGCGGGGACCATGACGCTGGGCTCGGAGTGGTGTTCCGATCTCGGTCGCCTAAATTCGACGGGCGAGCTGCTTGTGGAGGCGGAGCCAGAGTAGTGCGCTTCGTGCGAGTGTCCTGAAGCTGGGGCCCCGGCTCCGTTCCTGGTCGGGTTGGCCCAGGCGACACCGAGCATCAGGGACGTGCGCTCTAAAGCATCTCCGAAAGCACGACTCACCATCTTCCAGGCTTGCGTCCTCGACGATGCTTCTCAAAAACGCACTCCCTGTCATGCCTCGCACAGCGCTTGCACGGCACGATTCCGTCTGTTGGGGCTGAGCATCGAATCTAAATTTTGCGCGGCACAGAGCAGGTCAGCGGCATGCTAATGAGATCGTCTCCGCAGAGTGGG